AATTAACCTTACAGGATAGTGAAGTTCAGATAGAGCTCATTTCCTGAACATGGTTGACCTTTAACAGAACTGATTTATTTCCTCACCCAAACAGTTATGCAGGATACTGCCAGACCGCCACTACAAAAAAACCTTGCCAGTATTTCTAGACAATGGTTTATCATCTATGTTTAAAAACCTTGTACCACCAGAGGCAAAGCACATAAAAGTGAAAGTAAGTAAACTTATTTCTAGTCTATTTATCTAAATAAACTTTTATAAAATAATATGGAAAATTAATGCATAAAAAGTAATCTCCTTATTATCTGATTTGTCAAAAAGTAATTGCTAATTCTCTGTAAAAACAGGAAACTCAATCATAAAATGTCTACTTGTTTAAATTAAAATGCCAATCTTGAAGTCTTTTAATACCATGACATAAAAAAAGAAGTTTGCAAATTCAGGATGACACTTGAAATAAAAGCTATGGTTCAAAAGTCTGTTTATAGTTAAGAGACTAAAATCGTATCACTGCAAAATTCCCCGTGGCTTTTGGCACTGACATGAAGATTTCAGTCTTTTGGTCACTTGAAGCTGCTACTAAATACAACAAGAAGCCTTTAAAAAAAAAAAAAGGGAAAAAAGACAGTGAGGAACTGAAGGATAGTTAAGGTAACTACATCATTTACAAGTAAAGCATAGTCTGCAATAAACAGTCTTTTTCTGCTAGGAATCTGAAGATATAAGAATAGTTTCCTACCCTCCCTTCTTTTTTGAGGATCCTCTAATCAGGGAAATAATTTAAGTTACTGTGAGTGGTATTGCCTGGCAGCAGCTTCAATTTCCTAGGCTAGTCGTCAATCCAAGTAATTAAGTAATCTCACAAGGAATAATTATACATGGCAACAGGGTAAAAAAGCAGGGCAGTTCTTCCATGCACAAACATTTCAGGAGAAAAACCATCAATTTTAAAGATAACCATCAGGTTTCAGGTATCCTAGCACACTCTAAACCCTAAGTTTTGCTTTACACCATTGGTGACTAAAATTAACAATACATTTTGCAGTGAGTTTTTTTTTGTTTTTTTTTTTTAAATTTTTTTGCCTGCAACTGTATATACATTGCAAAACTGCAATCTGCATCACATGATTTAAAATGAAATAAATATAAAAATGAACCACACAATCAACACATAACTTTTAATACTCCACATTATTTATCTTGATCACGCTGGTGGTGACCTCCTTGTCAACAATCTTGTGAGTTAAGGAGCTGGTTCTCATTCTCGTATCCATCAGGCAGGTATGCTCTCCGCAGCTGGTCTGACTTGGGTATGGAGCCTCCATTCTTCACATGGCGAGACAGGAAAGCGCGGACTGCTGGGTGATCAGCCTTCTCAAGTGGGATGTTGGCTTCCAGGCACATTTTCACGAAGTCCTGGATCACACTGGCTTTCTCTGTCTGCGCAGCACTGTTGCACTGAAGCGATGCAGTCAGAGGCCGCTGCTTCTTTCTCACGTTCTGCTCTTCAAATTCTGCCTTCCTCTTGGTATGAGTCTTTGACTTGAGGTGGTCACTAATGGCAGACTTGCGAACATGATTCAGAACCACATTGCAAGAAGTGCAGAAGAGTTTTCCTCCATCTTCGTGCAGCTCACCTCCAAACTCAGTGACTCGATCCAGCGGAGTCACATACAAAGCAGTCTTGGAACGGTTTCGAGCAGGTGGTGCTGTTACTACAAATCGTTCCATTCTGACTTTGAATGGGGTTCTTTCAAGACAAGAGAAACAAAGACAAGTGTTATAACACTTCATGCAGAAAGCAAAAATAAAAGGCAGGTATAAACATTTTGAGATTAAAGGCTTCAGAAAATTTAATTCAAATTATTATTAATAGACTTATCTAATAAGTCTTAACTTACCTGAAATATGTTAAGGGGAGGGAAAACCAGAGCAAGTTACTAGTACCAAATAAGTTCCTTCTTTGATTTCGAAGAAATTAAATTCGAACTATTAAAAAAGAACTCCAACTATCATAGATGTCACTATCCTTTAGAAAAATCTAACTACAGGTCTACATTAATAGTATCAATTGTATGAATCTCATCTAATTTAGATCTACATTAATAGTATCAATTGTATGAATCTCATCTAATTTAGATGTATATTCAATTTTAAAAGAACTTTGTTCCTGTCACAATTCTGGGACAACAGATTTTAGGAAAACAACTTCAAGGAATTATGTACAAAATTTATTCAAACAGGTGAGCCATTAAGCTGGTATAATTCTATATGGAGATGAATATAACTTCTAAAGTTGTTCTGAGAATAAAGAGAGGAAAAGAAAGGACACAGGCCAAATGTGATTAAAAGCAGCAACAATCACATTAAATTTTACAGTCAAAATATAGAGCTCAAATTAGTCATTTTTATTTAATGTATATACACCTCTACTAAGACACCTTTCCAAAAGGTGATGATAGTCAAGCTATGCAAAGTAGCTTTTCTAACACTTTTGTTTACATTGAAGAGTAATGTTTACATTTGCGAATATTTATTTCATTTATTAGCTATTAAGTTAGACCAAAACTAAGAACTTAATACAGTATCTAGTACATGATGGATGCTCAATCACAATTTATTTGATATGGGATAATAAGTGATTATTTCACAAATATTTAACTCAGAAACAACTTAATAATTTCTCAATTTATCCCAACAACAGGTTTTTCTGATCATTGCCAAAATCATAAGGTTACGGGCACTGAAAACTTGAGATAACAAAGGTTGTAAATGATAACCATTTGTTGGATTAAACTCTTACATTAGTCCAGATAAAAGAAACTGAAGTGAATTTGATAGATTTCAGGATGGAATTCTGTTCCAGTTAAATACACTAGAGAAAAATTCCCAGGTGTGTTCTGAAGAACTACCCTTTATAAGCATAATCAAAAACATTGGAGTATTCCATTAATCTATGCTACACAATTCACAACTGGTTAACATGAAATCTCTCTCAAAAGAATTTATGTATTAGGCATCTGTGGCCATAACCTCAGAGAACTCAACATTTCACAGTATTCTTGGAAGGTTTAGGCTTTAATAGGTTTAATTCTGTTCTTTTTTTTTTCCAATAAAAATCTGTTAACCCAAGGCTCTCATGTGTCAAATATTATTTAGGCTATAGGTTTTCAATTGCAGAAGACAATTCCTGCGTACTTAACAGTGAATTACCATTACACATATTTGTACTTTATGGCATGTGTTGCAGAATCTTATACCAAGTCAGTCCCAATTATAATGAATGGTTCCAAGCTCTTTATGAAAAACATCACATATTTGTGTCTAGTAATGCTTAAATCATTCTATGTTTAAAGTCTTCTATCTTTGGATTTCAAACTGTAAACAATTAACATGTTCGTTATTCTCCGAAGCATAAAACACGCAGTCACTTGTGTTAATATGAAAGGCCTATTCATTACAAAATCTTGTAAGTTTTCTAGTATATTTGTGTTACTGCAGAGGCAAGTATCTACCCAGTAGAGGTTGCTCGAGTTTACAGAACCGAAAAACAAAAGTGTTTTCCATAGAAGTATAGATATTTTAAACGAGGAAGTTAAAAAGTTAAGGGCAGTAATTGGCCAACAAAAGAAAACAAGCAAATCATTTACTCGATAAAAATAAAACTCATCATAAGTTTTCAAGTTTAAATGTTTACCGGATGAGTTTCCAGTTTTTTCGTCTTGATACCTAGCAGTGAAGGGTCTCCAGCGCAAAACCAAAGACGCATTAAATCCTGGCACTTTCCGTTTGTTCAAACCCGGATATGCCTTCAAATCAGTTTTTCAACAAGTGGTGATGGGGAAACAGTTTCTGGGCTTGCACCCTATTTTCCCTGAGGTGCTGGGAAGTCATGCCTTTACTGTAAAACACGAAAAACAAACGGAAAGAAAAAATGGAGGAGGGGGAAGAAGGGTGGATGAAAAAAACGAAGAACGTGCACGACAGCCACCACGCAGGTGTGTTTAAAATCACCCTAGCTAAGTCCATAAATCCGGATCCCAACGTTTACCCCAGCTCTCCTTAGCACAGTCCCTCCTCAGTCGTCCGCCCCGATCTGAGCCTCCTCGCGCGCCCCAGCCCCAGGGATCGGGAGGAGGGAAAGGCGGGGCTCGCGACGCTCCTGGCGTCTAGACTCCCTCCTCCCGCGCGGAGCCCAGCACGCCGGCGTCTCACCGCCCCTGCCCGCTAGCTGGGCAGGGCCGAGTCCCAGCTGCCGGCCGTGGGCCCGGGAACTCGACAGCCGAGTTGGCGGCAGTCTCAAGGGAGGAGGCGGCAGGCGCCTGGCGGAGGCGGCCGCTGTCAGGCTTCCCGTCCCCTCCCTCTTCCTCCCGCCGACAACGGCGCCCCGGCCCCGCCCCCCGGCTCCCGCTCGGGACGGAAGGCCCCGGGCCCAAAGCCCGCACCAACGGCCGGGCCCACCCTCGGCCTCCCTAGCTCCTCGGTACCGTAGGATCTGGGCCGTCGCTAGGGGAAGTGGACGATACACGGCCGGAAAGGAAAGGAGGAGGAAGAATAGGAGGAGCAATAGGGTGAGGGAGGAGGACCAGTCGCCGCCGCCACCGCCGCCGTCGCCGCTGCTGTAGCCCGATCGAGCCCCGCGGCGGCCGCCGTGTCCCCCGCCGCGCCCCGTCCTCCTGCGCCGCCAGTGGCAGAGCTCGTAGGCGGTCGCCAGCAACCGCCGAGCAACATTGACCAACGGACTGCAAGTCTATCAAACAGACGGAATATTTGACCAATAGTGGTGGAAGGGCGAACATGTGCATGATTGGCGGCTAGCGTTCTCCAATGAAAACTGGGGGCGTGGGTGGGCGGAGCCGGAAGTAGAGCCAGCCGAGAGCCCCCTGTCCGTTTGGGGAGGAGAGAAGGGGGAGGGAACTAGAGGAGGAGGAGGAGGTTAGCCGAGGCAGCTACAGCGGCGGCGGCGCAGGGGTTGGTACGCGCTGGGCGGCGAGAGCCTCATGGCGGAGGAAGAGAGCGACCAGGAGGCCGAACGCCTCGGAGAAGAGCTCGTGGCCATTGTGGAGTCCCCGCCAGGCCCAGCCGGTCTTAGAGCTGCGGGCGACGGCAGAGGCGGCGCTGGCGGCGGCAGCTGTGGTGGCGGCGGCGTCGGGATCAGCAGTCGGGATTACTGCCGACGCTTCTGTCAGGTGAGGCGCCCGTCGGCCGCCCGCCCGGACTTGTCAGCCGGTCCTGGGCCTCCCTGCCTCCCCTGTTCTTCTCGTCCCCGAGTCTGGGCTGTGTCCGGCGCTCGCGCCACCGGCGCAGCGAGGAGCGTGAGGATGAAGCTTCCCCCTCCACCTATCCGGCTTGGGGTGGGGGGCGGGGAGCGGGTTCGGGATGACCCGCGCAGGTTTAGGGTTGTGGAGAAAGAGTTTGTCCGGGGTGGAGGGGCTGGACCGGAGGGTCAGCTGGCAGGAAAGCTCTGTACTGACAAGCCTCCCCTGCCCCAGACAGACCCCTTTCTGCCCGAGGGTCCCGCCTTTCTTGTGTTTCCTATCCTGTTTCTTGTCACCTCATTTGGAGTCTCTGGCAACATACCTTGCCTTCCCTTCTGCGCCCCTTGCCCCCCGTATTCTCCCCTTTTTCGGATATGGGAGGCGTGCCATCTCTCTACCGCCCCCTCTCCTGTCATCGCCACCCCTCCCCCTCTGCTAGGGTCTCCTGTCATCCCCTCACGAGATCCCGCTGGGCCAGTTCTCCAGTTGGCTTAGGCGCTGACCCACAGTGATTTAGTTACTTTTTTGGGAAGTGGGGTTAAGTCCATGGGATTGTCATCTTTCCTTTTCTTACCCCCTTTCCCCGATACACACAAGCTCTTTTCTGATAAACTGCTAATAGAGAAAGTAGCTTTCCTGAAAGTATTGCTCTCGTTACATCACCACCACCCCCCCTTCCTTTAAATTATAGTGTATTTTATTTAGTCTGTAAAAAAAAAAAAAAGACAACAAAACAGTGTCTAAACAGTGACAGTAAATTACTTACTTGGTCGACAGCCACAACGATTTGATGTATTTAGAACGTTTAAGCATAATCAAATATTAAAGTACCATATTTGTGCAGGGATAAAATTTATGTAAACTATACATTTACATCTGCATAATTTGTAGTTTAACATTTTGTTCTGTTTCATAGCACTATTATTTTGCAAACTCTTGGGTTGGGAAAAAATTTAATTAATCCTTTTCCATCTCATTCCTTTGTTTATTATCTTGGATGTATAGGATTCACATCTTGATTCCACTACTCCTAGCTGTGTTATCTTAAACAGATTACTTAACCTCTTTGTGCCTTAGTTTCTTTACCATCAAATCCGGATAGTAATTAAATGAGTGAATATGTAAAGGATCCAAACTGCTTGGATCCTTTACATATTAAAGTTAGCCATTAATTTCATTCTGGTAGCAAGTAAGAAATAAAGCTAAGCAGAAATGAGCATCATGTTTGCTGAAATTTGATTTTATGTCTTTCCAAGCATTGAGAGATTGCTTGGAAAAAAGGGTGGGGTTGACATTTTTAGGGAGATTTCATCCCCCTCTTCTCCAAAATAGGTAAGTTTGTTTGATGGTGGAAATTGTCTTGTTATACGGGATATGTGAGTTTCCTTTGGCATTGCTATCTGTTTAGTAACTTTCTTAAAAAAATTGGTTTTTTTTTTTTTTGGTATTGGCATTCAGAATTTAGAGGTTGTGTCTTTACAGAGCTTGTCTTCTGTTTTACATGTAGAAACCATGTTTTCAGTAGATTATTTACCTGTAGGAGTTTTAAACTTATGTAAAATTATGTTACAATTGATCTTTTTAATACAGTCACAGGCAGAAAGTCTATCTTTATCTATATTTTGCTTTTTATATCATTAATGAGCATCTTGGCTTTGGTTACATTTAGCTTTGTAAATTTATTTGCTGTAGAATGTGAAATTTAGTTTGAGGGCCAGAACATTTTTGGAGAACTTTTAATTACTTTCCTTCTATTTCTTGAAACCAACTTCAAGAACAAATGAATAAATTTAGCTTGTGAAATACAGTGTCCCAATAGCGACAGTAAATTATTTTAAGAACAAAAGAAGTTGACTATTTTATAAAACTCCACTACCTCCTAAATTATCCAAGGAAATAAAAGTAACTAGGAAGAGCTTAGTAACCTTTATATTGCTAAATTACGACTGTTATACTGACATACTTTCATGTTACCAACTTTTACCTGAAATCTCATATTTTATAGTACTCTACATTACCAAAAGATCTCTTCTTAGGGTTCCTATCCTGGTTCCACCTTGCAGGTGAGCTTTGTGAAGTGTTTTTTTTTGTGTTAAAACTTTAAGATGGAATAAAAGACTACCTGAATTAAGTTGAATTTTACCAACTGATTAATAGAATTCTAATATAATAATTATGCTTTATTTGCCAGTAAGGGACGTAGTGGATTATACAATCTAATTCCTAAAGATTGTTTCTTTTTAAATATTTGGTTTCCTAATATTCGCTCAGGGTAACTTTTCTTCATTAATAAATTACTAGTTGTGAGTAATCCATAAAATGGATAAAACGTACTTGAGTTGGTGACAGTTAACTCAATATATGAATTATACACACAGCCTTGTAAAGTTGAGAAGAAAGGCTCCAATTTTTCTTCCTCCTTTTAGAGAGAAATATGAATCAAAATTTCTTGGCAGTTAGTTGTGTGGGTGAAGGGAGAGGAAGGAACACTTCTTTTCAAGAATGGTTCTGTGTCTTTTACCACAGGGAAAAGTAAAACAGAAGACTGTAGCTAATATAAGTGAAAAATTATGCATGCACTCAATGCATTTGATGATAAAGTTTTCTATTTGAGAAATAATACTAGTAATTATAAATCTTAAACTAAGGGGATAATCCCTTAGCCTATAGCTGATTTTTGAAATGATGGATTTGGGAGACTGAAAATGTTCATTTCCAGTTACATTGAATAATGTTTGACTGACTGCCCCATCATATCCTCCCTTGGCTTTTATTAGTACAGGCCCAACAAATGCTTAAATAGAATTGGCCCTTCGCTGATATTTAATTTGAGGATGAAAGGAAGAGAAATATAGTTTTTATTGAGGGCCTACTAACTCTTAAGGCCTTCAGATAGGTCTTGTTATGCAAGTTACATTGTTGAAATTGAGGCTTGAGCAAGTTAGTCTGTCAGGTGAACAAGCTGGGATTTTTGGACCCAGCCTTCGATTTCTTGTGAATTATAGTTTGAAATTACAAATGAATCCTCAAATAATTATAAAGTGACTTTTATTTTTCTTGGTCAAGTTGTACAAGAGAGATGAAAACCTTACTGAAGAACTCAGGGAGTAATGAGTGGAAAATTTTAAAAGTACTCTTTCATTATGCCACAGTATAAAAAATATTCCAAGTAACAGTTAACTCTCTCTGATTTCTTAGGGGCTGTGAACATTTCCCTGATACCTGAAGGTTGTGGTAATTCAACTTAACTTTGTTGATAGATACATTGAAATTTTTTATCACAAATTATAAATTAAGTAAGTTAGAGATGCCGTTCTTAGTTCAGTGCCAGAATGGATATAGTGAATGATATATAAGTATTTTTGAAGCACTTTGATATGTTTATTAAAGTAGACTTTAAAACCATTTCTTATTATAGAGGGGTTAAATAGCCATCCCATGAGGATGTCATAAGTATAAAATGAGAGAATGAACATGAGGTTCTTAGTACTATACCTAGCACATAGATAGGCTTAAATAGATACAGGCTATTAATATTTCTCACATGTGAAATCCTCTGAAGGTTTAAGAGGAACATTAGAGATAATCTAATCTGTAGGTCACTTAAAGTTTGTATCCTGCAGTAAACTTGAGAGAGAATTTAGAAATGTTACAATTCTAAATTGTTAATTAACATGAAAACCCAAATGTTCCTAATGAAGCACTAACTGATTTGCAAAAATAACTATATTGTTTTTCAGATTTTATTTCTTGTAACAGACATTGGGCAACGTCTGGAGATATTTGTGATTGTCTTAATTAGGAGCTTGCTACTGGCATCTAGTGCGCAGAGGCCAGAGATTTTGAGCATCCTGCAGTGTGCTGGGCAGCCCTAACAGCAAAGAATTATCTGGTTCATAGTGGTCAGTAGAATTATCGATAGAACTATCTGGTGCCAAAGTTGAGAAACCCTCCTGCTATAACCTTACTTTGGAACTTTTAGTGGATACTCTGTTTTGAAAGAAAGTATTTAATCATCTCATCAAATAATTTTAAGCAGCTAGTGTGCATCTTGGGTAGCAAGAAGGGCTTCCCAGGTAGCTCAGCTGGTAAAGAATCTGCCTGCAATGCAGGAAACCCCGGTGTGATTCCTGGAAAGTTCCCTTGGAGAAGGGATAGGCTACCCACTGCAGTATTCTTGGGCTTCCCTGGTGGCTCAGAGGGTAAAGAATCTGCCTGCAGTGCGGGAGACCTGGGTTTGATTCCTGGGTTGGGAAGATCCCCTGGAGGATAGCATGGCAATCCATTCCAATATTCTTGCCTGGAGAATCCCCATGGACAGAGGAGCCTGGCGGGCTGCAGTCCACTGGTCGCAGAGTCCCACACGCCTGAGCGACTGAGCCTGCGTGTAGCAGGCACTTTAAACAGATAAACAGTCTTAACAGAGAAAAAGCTCACTTCATAGTTTTACAAAATACATGCTCAAGACTCTCTAAATTAAAATTTAATTGTTTTAGGAAAATACAACCCTTATCTCTGAGTCTTGGTATAAAGTTCACATAATATAGTTTCTTGAGCAGTTACTTAGAGTATAATAATACATTTTTACTATTCCTGGAATTATTTTTTGATTTCGTTTTATGTTTTTGTATGTGCTTTGTTTATTAATAAGTACATATAAGACTTAAATATGAGGAACTGCATTTTGCTGCTAGAAGAGACTTGACTTAAATAGTTTAAACGAGTACATATTTATTTCTCGTATGAAAAGTCTTAAATGGTCAGTAGGAATGATATGGTAGCTTTATCATCATTTGTTCTTTCTTATTAGTCATCTTTATCTTCTATCTCACGTTTGCCTCATGATCCAAAATAGTTGCTGAAGTTCCAAACATCAAATCTCAGGTCCATGTAGTAGGAATGGGGTATCTCTGGGGTATGCCAAAAACATC